ACCAAGCATAGCATCGGTACGTTCGAGGTGTAACAAAGTACTATGTTTATATTTGCAGTATTTACAGTGAGTCAAGTTACATTTATTACTCGTATGGCCAGGACGTAGGCAATTTAAACAAACTTTGTACTGCTTAGCTTTGTCTATGCGAGCTTCTACAGTAAGTGCCCTAAAAGATTCACAATTAAATAAGTAATGTGACTGATCGCACATGGGACATTGTACGGAACTGGTTTTACAATTATTATTTTCATTTAATTTGGATTTAAACTTGTTGTTTATGTTGTAAGAGATTGAACGGTTATCGTGGTCATCCAAACTTTCTAATAAATCAGCCCTATTTCTTAAAAAGGAAAGGAAGATGTCTAAGGTTGGACTATCACTCATCTTGTTTCTATGTTCTTCCCAGTGACGCAGGGTAATTTTATCTAATTTAGAAGACATCATAAAAATAATTAAAGTGTCCCAGTACTGAGTAGGCTGATTTAATGTAGTAAGTGCTCTAATATTCTTCGTAGTAGTGTCAATAAGGTAATGGATAGACTTACAGGATTCTTTATGTAAAGGTTCAATGCTAAATAATGCCTGTACATGGTTGTTAACGAGTAAACGATTATTATCGTAACGCTCCAATAATAAATCCCACGCAATTTTATAGTTGTCACTTGAAACATGAATATGTTTAATAATTAAGGCCGCGCTCCCATGAAGAGAAGCGCGTAGGTAATAAAATTTGTTTACGTTATCTATGTTTTTATTGTTATGGATAATTGATGTAAAAGTATCCCTAAACTCAAGCCAGTGCTGATAGCTACCGCTGAAATGAGGTAAATCTATTTTAGGCAACCTAACGTGGCAAATCTTGGAATCGTCACCTGATATAGCATCATTGAAGCTTGCTACAGATTCACGACGTTTATTCGAAGAGAGAAGGCAGCGCGCACACGCTACTAATGCGAAATATTCATTCTCGAAATGCTCACGCTCGGAGATGGACTCGTCTTCCTCACCGCTGGACTCATCACAAAGTGCCTCGATCTCATCCTGTAACGTATCGAATTCGCAATTTAAATTTTCAATTTTGCTTAAACGGCATTCCAACTCAGCAGTTTGCAGTTCACTAAGGCTTTTACAGCTTTTAAGGATATTAAGATGTTTGTTGAAGGTAGTAAGCTTTGATTTTAAGGCAGATCTTTTCTTAATTAATGTTTTAATATGATCAGGCATGATGAAAGGCCGTGGAAAAGATTTATAAACTAATAAAACGATTAACTTATAGTTATTTAGTAAGCAAATATGTTTAAAAATAAAATGAATAAGATGAACTATTAAAATAAAGGGTATTTATGAAGACTCGTAATAAAATAATACAAAGAATAGCTGTCCGCTAACAAAAGCCACGTGCGTAGCCGGCGTAACAAACCGGTTTTGCAAATGCGACGATGAATACATAAGCGAAACAACGATGTTAAATTTAATACTATTTATATTTATCTGTAACGTAAAATGTGTTTGATTTCTAATGAAACTTTAACAATGCTAAAAACTTTATGTTAAGTTTAAGATGGCTGCGATGGCTGGCTCAACTTGGCTATTTGAAGCAAGGCAGAAAAGAGATTTAAAAAATATGTGGTAAAAGAGATAAGCAGGAGTAAAAAGGAAAATGGAACGAACTCACAGAATGTCTTATCCAACCACTATATTCTTCTCTTCGTCTTCGTCTTTCAAATGTCCTCTGTCGTTGAAAAGGCCAACACGACTCGAAAAAGAGGGTCGAAGTCCGCTCGTCCACCGTATTTCTACTTGCAAACACTATCGCGAAGGACCAAATTGTTAAGGTCTCGGTGTTAAATAAAAGTGGACTGTATGTTGCGCTGGTTTTTAATGATCACAAGGATTACGTTGAAGGAGCAGTGATCCCGTTCGAGTATATAAGGCGAGTGCGAGTACATAATAGCAATCTTGGTGGGAGCCGTTGCGTCCGCGCCCCCGCTTCTCGCTGCCTCCCCGTCACCCGCGCCGCACGTCGTTTGCGCGGTTCAGCCGCTTGTAAGCACCGGCAAACCGTGATGTCGAGGATCGAGGTTTGATTCTCGACAACCGTAACTTTTACTAAAGATAGAACAAAATAGGTATTAATTTTAAACAGATAAATTAGATTATTTTAAATTCTAACTTCACACATCTCACACCTGGCAGTCTGATTCTAAACCAGATAGAGCCTGTGCTAGGGTAACCAGACTCTTGATAAACGTACTTATTTATTTCTAAATACATACATATTATGGATAAATTACACCCAGACAGAACAAATGTTCATGCTCATAACACATTTATTTGTCCTGGGTTGTAATCGAGCCCATGATCTCTAGCTTAGCAGTCAGGGTCACTTACCATTAGAACTACACTTACCAGACTAACACTTACGAGAATTAATTTGTTTGATCAAGAGTAAAATCGGCCTCCATATCCCTATGATCGTGTTTATACCTGCAACCACGCTAGCGAGTCCTAAAATGAGTCCTAAATGTGGCACAATAGGATTTAATTTCTATAAAGTCAACCGTCCATGAGCATACCCGTACATAACATGCTCTTGCACTTTCAACGTCATTTTATATTATTTACATTTGCCTGTTTTTCAATTTAAAATAAAAATAAAGTGTCATTTTTGTGACACTTTTATGTGATGTCAATGTATCTCAAACTTGTTTTAACTCTCCGGATAAAACATTCTGTTTCGACAATCGCTATTGCTTCTTATGTTTATGAACAAGTTTAAAATTTTACTGTATTTATTGTATTTTATGTTTGTATTGTGCATGAGATACTTTGGTTGTTTTCGCATTTCACGAGTGGTTCTGACTTTGTCGTAACTTTATATAAAGAAGATGTAAACTTTTTGTATGAATATAAAAACCATTAGGGTTCAAATTACACTGATATATAGCAGCTACAATTAGGATTTAGTTGGCATAGAGAATGGCAACACTAAAATTATGGCCAGCAACTGGTCGTGATATATGTGTTTTGCCTTTAGTGCAGTGCCATTTCGATCTCAAAAACTTAAACTTAAATTAAATATCGACTTTTATAGCTATGCTCGAGTTAAAGCTATGATTTCTTTAATAGTACGAAAGAACTGCTTAACACTGTTTTTTGTGAGGCCCTGGTATGACCTGTCGAGCCTGAACCGGCTCTTTACGGCTGTGTGTGTGTGTGTAACTCTCCCACGGTAAAATCAGAAATAAAAATCATTATGCAATTGTTAAAACTCCACACAAACAGACAATTTTGAGTGAGTGTTTTTTTATTTGTCAAGAAATCATGTCTTATTGTATTAAGCTTAAGGAATAATAATACTGTGTTTATATGTGTAAAATGCAGTAGAATAACAGACTGAGAGACACAGATATTTAACACTTTAATTTCGTATATAGGTAACAATCTATTCCATGATGGAGGACTGAATTCGAAATCAAAATCGTTTGTTTTGATTACACCAGTAATAGGTATTTTTAAATTGTCAGAAGTATAAGTAAAACTTAAAGCTATTAGCCTGTTGTAGTGCGTGGACCCTGTAGAGTAGAACTGGAGAAAACTCCAGGAACACTCTTTTTTCCTTTTTAACATGTTTTATATCCGTTGCTTTTTAAGTTCATGTCAATAACAGTAAATTAGGCAATTAAAAACTGCAGTAAACTTGATAAAGTTATATAAATATGTAAACGTATACATGTATGTGTGTGTTTTTACCTGCTCACCAGAAAATACAAGTTCTCACGTGTAAGTTGGATACTTCCAGTTGCCTAGTTGATAAACAAGGTTTACGTGCCTTATCTAAATACTTAAAGACATTGAGAAGTTATCTGTACATAAGTAGTCTGAACTATCGTACGTATTTTTACAATATTTAACCAGCTATGGCTACCATCCAATAAACTAACATTAAAAACAATGTATTGATTTAAGAAACCAGCAAATCATACAAAATCAGCCAGCCAGAGCTTATAGAATATACACAATCTCATAAACGATACTATATTTTTGTGTCTTTCAGGCAGCTCTATTATCTTTTTTTATAAAATGGAGGAGTCGCGCGTCGCGTGCGTCCGTCGCCTAACTCTACTTTGTTCACATTATTATTTGATAAAACATTGTTTAAGTAATGATGATTAAATTAGCACTTATAATAAAAAATTGACGACTGTATAATTTAGATAAATTTTATAAATGACCTTTTGTTTGCTCCGAAAACAAACACCTGTATTTATATTTTATGTCTATATGTAGCTATAGTTCTATCCGTAGCCATGTCGTGCTGTAAATGTGCATGTTGCATCAGACTGCATGGATCTCTCTACGTTATAGTGTTGTAGGTTCAATCCCTACATGGTTGCAGGGGACAACACTTTGTGTAATCATCAAATGGTTACTCTGAGTTAGGGTGTTCTTTGTGACCGTTACACGTATGTCAGTAAAGTCCCCTCTTTTTCCCAAACTAGGTTGAGGCCAGTTTTAAGTCTACCAATATACTGCCATCAGATAACCACAACCCAAGTACTAGGCGAAATCGAAGCGAATCGAATTGCCAATGATCTTCGTATGGCAACCGGGACCGACCGCTTAACATACTCTCCGAAGCACGGGGGGTCTTAATGTGTTAATAATGATCATCCGTCATTAGACTGTCCTGGCTAGGATTGCTTAACTTTACAATGTGGTGACGGATTAAGAATACAGAGTGTCACCACCCCTATTTATCCCGTGGGTGTCGTAAGCACTGCAGAGAGAAAGAAAACTTGACACAAACCCTAAACCAACCTGTCTGGCCAGCGTGGTATAGTAGGCCAAAACATCCTTTCTAAGGAGAGGGTCATGTCCAGCAGTAGACTATTAAAGGCAGATGATGTGATGTTGTTGTGACAATGTGTTCAAACAACTCGGTTACCACTTGTCTGCGAGCTCCTCGAGTCTTAGAAAGTATTATTTAAACTCACTTATATACATATGGGCCGATCTCCGATAGTATAGGCTTCTCGCCCCTGTTTATTTCCTCGGCGTTCGTCACATTGAACAAGTACACCTTGAAGTCCATAGGCATTGGCAATTTCATCCATTTGTCAAACATCATCGAGTTGTTCTCCAGTTGAACATTCTGAAATACAAAAAGGATTTTAAACATCGAATATTCTCTACACAACGGATGATAAAGAAAAACTCGTTGCTTCATATAAGTCTAATCTCCTCCTGTTAGAGTCCATCAGGCAATATCACTTAATTGTAGGTAAGCAGACTAAATGTTCTAATAAAACGGAATTAAAAAGAAGTTATACGTAAACATTTCATCGAGGTTTGCCAAAAATAAGCTTGTGTTAAGCAATTCTTTTGTTGCCTATCACTGAGTGAGTGAGGTTATCGGAGCCCAAATCCCCCCTCCCGTTGACTCGAGCGGGAGGGACTCCATGGGCAGCAATGCACTTGTGACTTTTGAGTTGCAGGTGTCCATGGTCGGCGGTAGTTGCTTACCGTCAGGTGACCCGTCCGCTCGTTTGCCCCCGTTTGCTCGTTTATACCATAAAAAAAAACAATTCACACAATTTGTTACACACACACTTACGCGTCTCGAGTTGTTAGGAATGGAAGCATACAACAAACTATTAACGCAATACAGAGAAAGATATTTTTTAAAGAGAAAGAAAATACACCTTTAGTAACAAACATATGAAACCTACAAAAGCATTTTGCGTAATAAAATACGTGTTGATTTAAATTTTGTGTATAGACTAATAAAAAAAAAAATTGACAGGTTATTTAAGGCATTCCAACTCGCCTCGAAACGAGAACAAAAAAAATTAAAGCAGAGAATTTTGATCTTTAAACTTAACCAACAATAGAATTCTGAAATAATTCAGTTAAGTCACATACAAATTATAAAAGTTAATTGTTAAATTTTATAAAAACACAATTATTTAATTAAATTGACAAGCTGGTCATGAAATTGTAAGTTTTGTTTTCTGATTTACTATTTATTTTGTTTATGGTAATTTTTCATTTTAATTTTCTGTTATTACTTTTTTAATGACATGACATGACGTGTTAGCATGCTATTGAGCATGACGCCAATCTGCTTATCATTTCCTCTGGATGTGGTAAATAATAGTATGTTTAGTTGTGTCAAATTATACAGCAGATCCCATTTTGATGGACTTTTTAATATCCGTATTTAACCATTTCAATGATTGATGATGAACTATTGAAAGACGGAAGCAAACTATGTAGTTAATATTAATCATGTAATTTGATAAAACTATTGTCATTGTGATCAAGTATTTTTTTTTAAACTATATCTTATTTCCATCTTGGAATTCGTAGTAAAAGTCCTTAAAACTTAAGCATATTATGGAATATTTCCCCTCCAACCGCCATAATGGCTAGCCGCGAGGAGGCGACGTCCGCATGTACCGGACATCGCTTAAATAGAGAATGTACCCGAAGGTGCCTGCGTCATTGCGGGCAGGCGCTAAGAGGAGTCCGTATATCTTAATAACAGCAGTTCCCGGATCCCTCCTATTACAGGCACAGAGTGTAGTTTTAGTCGGTCCGATTTCGACACACCACCCCGCCGCAAATCCCGATGCGGCTGTTTCCTTAGCGCGTAATTTAAATTTGGCTTCATCATCAACAGCCTTTCCTAGTCCACTCCTGGCCATAGGCCTCTCCTTAGAAAGGAGGTTTTGGCCTACTATACCACGCTGGCCAAACGGGTTGGTATAGGGTTTGTTTCAAGTTTTAATTCTCTTTGCAGTGCTGCTGTCCTGCATTGTTTACTCCCTTAGTCGGCTCTTACGACACCTACGGGATGAATAGGGGTGGTGACACTCTATATTCTTAATCCGTCAGCACGGACACAATTTGGATTACAAGGACGAAATTTGGGTTAGTAAGTTACAATTAATTACCGAATCATACAATGCCAAAATTTTATACAAAACTATTGGGGCATCCCCAAAATACACATGCGAGTAAAAAAGGTTATTTTTATAAATATGAATACTATTAACGTAATTTTTTACGATTTACGTTACAATGTTACGACATTACTACGAGTATATCCAGTTCAACGGTGATTATGATGATAAAATAATTATATGCATTTAAGAAAATTGATGTTTTTTTGAATCATTTAAATTATTTTCATCGGAATGAATCAAATATACATCAATGTAGATGTATAATTATACAAAAACTGTTTCTTAATTATACAAAATCCAGTTTTTTACAAGCGACCATTTTTACTGAAGATAAAAACTGCCATGTTATGGGATAATTACTGTCACGAATGTAAATATTATACAGTATAAAAACAAGTTACATCAATAAAATTTCAATAATTTAATATTTGAAACTAGTTATATTGATAATTGGAGCTTTCTAGATGTTACTGACGTATGACAGATATTTCCAGATCAGGGTTCCTATCAAGCTTCAGAACTAGACCCTTGTGACGAAACACCGTGTAGCTTTAACTCGAGATTCCCAAATACTACATAACTGTTAGTCTCAGTAGGATGGTGACCCATGTAAAATTCTAGGCACCAAAAACTGTAGCAAAACTTCAACTTTTTTAAATATACATATATTTAGATTGCTGCTAAACCCAAATCATTTTGTGGATTAAGGTTAACGGCAGTCCCGGATCTACGATTTATTCGAACCCGGGCAGAAACTTAATAAAAGCGTCCCCTCTTTTGAGATAAATAACTTGGAAAACTCACAAAATTGTAATGGTTGGCATTTTTCATGATTGATATCTGTTGACATGACTCTGTAATATCTTTTACCCAATAACTTTTTCCTTTGTGTGACATACAATTATACATAGGAAACATATAACCAGAAAAGACGACAGGCAATTAAGACGTTTATAATAAAAAAAAATCAAAAAATTAATGATAAACATTTAAAAAAAAATGACTTCTTGAAAAAAACATTTTGAAAATTCTTTGGTAATTATAAAAAATCAGGACTCCTAATTTTATTTTTATTTATTCTACTCCAAAGGGTAAAAAACAAAGTTTGAAAAAAAATAGTTTAAATTGAAATTCCCTCCTTTATTTGAGGCCAAAACCTCCTTTTCTAAGGAGAGGCCTATGTCCAGCAGTGAACTAATGAAGGCTGTTGATGATGATGATGAAATTCCCAAAATAGGCACTTTGTATGAAATAATGTTTAGTCTCATAAACTTCAATTTTCACAAAATAAACATGAGCTTACGAAGTACTTACCCAAAGTATCTAACTGTCATTACTCACTTGGGCAATAGTCTAGGTTTCTAAATTATAGCGGTTCGTAATGTGGTTAAGATCGGATTTGCGGTGGCAAATTGTGTTGTTGAACATAATAATATAGTTGAAGTACAGAAATATGCCTTGTCTTATAGTACTCAGGTATTCAGTTACAAGTTTGAGTGTATTGTACGGTATTGTAAGTCAAATAGAGAATGGAACGAGTAGGTAATATCTTGCTGCGGCTCCGCCCGCGTAAATATTGGTTATTGCGGTAAGAAGAAGCCTGTGTCTTTGCTCAAGAATCAAAGTATCTTTATAGCAAATTTCATCTAAATGGGTCAGTTCAATGGGTTATTGATTCCTCATACAAATGTCTATGTACTTTCCCGGGTTTTATTCGGACGATCTCTGCACCAAATTTCATCCAAAACGGTTCATCGGTTTAAGCAGTGAAGAAGTAACAGATAGACAGACAGACAGATAGAAAGACAGACAGACTCACTTTCGCATTTATAATATTAGTATGTATTCAGCTACTATTGTATTATTTTTATAAAAATAATAATGTGTAGGCAGGGAAGTGAAGGTTAGTTAAAATTTTTTTTTATGGTATAAGGGGGCAAACAAGCAGACGGGTCACCTGATGGCAAGCAACCACCGCTGCCCATGGATACCCGCAACTCAAAAGTCACAAGTGCGTCGCCGCCCTTGGAGTCAAAATTTAAATTAAAAGAAAAAAAACCAGCCTTGGAAAAGGAAGGCATGAATTTTACAGCTCATTTTTTAGTGAAGTCTTTGATACTTTTTTAAAGTTAATGATTCAATTTCATAGAGGAAAATTCTCAACAAATACAAACTTGGACAAACAAAATACTACCATACGGTAAAGGCACGATCTTGTAATCTATAAAGCTGTAGCGAGTTCAAGATCATTGGATCAGTAGATGACGTAGATTTTATACAGCTCCGTGATATGTTGCATTAAATATAAGTATCCTGTACAATCATAAACTACAGTCCTAAAATAATAACTTCACACATCAAGCTGTTTTAAACGTTTTTTATAATTTTTCAATTACGATTTTTTCAAATATAAATCAATCCAAATGTTTGTCAGAGCATTTTCAAAGCTGGAACAGCTTGGTAGGGTTTTTTTTTAAATCTTCGTAATTATTTTACCAGTTGAATTGAAGGTCTTCCGACCAAGACATAAAAATACACTAAACAAATTTGGCATTTGCCGAAATGTCTTTATTTTAGTTATAGAAATAGCTGGTACTGAAAATATTTATGGCCCTACAGGAAACCAAAAAAGAAATATCGTACAGCTAAGCGGCTGAACTTTTGATGACTTTTACATTAATATGCATTTCGACGCCAATAAATGATGATCACAATTTTATTCAGGTTTATTTACCTGGAAATTCTACATAATAATATTAAAAATGCTAATTCAATCGGAATTGTGCTCCTCGTGTACGTAAATCTTTTGTATCTGCCATTGTGCATTTTTGTTTTGTGTGCATTCATTTATAATTCGAAGCAGCGTGATAGATTTTTGTTATGCTCGGTGTGTTTGGGTCTCTGGTTTTTTTTTCATATTAAAATTATTATGTTCTCGGTCGCAGCGCCACCTACCCGGTTAATTATGTTTATTTTTCGATTTCATTTTTTTATTTTCATCTTTAAACTGATCCGAAAAAGGTTTGAAATGAAATGATGATGAAATTATATTTATTTCTGCAAGTAAATCTTTTCAGATATTTTTACAAGTCGGAATTTACAGCTAGAAAGCACCGGCATTTTTTAAGACTCGCTCTGGGAAGAAACGCCGGAACAAACCACAGAGGTGTCTTTTTTTTTTTAG